TCTCTAAAAAGAGCCGGAAATCCCATCACTACTTGAGACATCATGCCTGCCATGTGTACTGACTCACTGCATGTTTGCACTGTTGTCCAGGTGCCCTATTTGCCCTCCAGTAAATATCAGACTGCGAACGTGATGAAGCTGCTTGAGGGTAGATCAGGTTGCTTGGCAGATCTGGGATCAGGAGATGGAAGACTGGTGAGTGAGTGTACCTGTCTTAGAGAAAAATGTATCTGTGAATATGCTGTGAGTTGAATCAGTGACTGTTTTGGAAACTCCTCCTGCTTGCTTGCCAGGTATTTGCAGCCTCTGCTGCTGGTTTCCAGTCCACAGGCTTTGAAATAAACTCCATTTTAGTGGCATATGCCAGGAGCAAGGCCTGCTGGACAGGAGTCCCCTCCAGTCAGGCAGTCTTTATTAAAAAAGATTTCTGGAAGGTAAGACTGTGATAGAAATATAGTCTTTTATACTTGGTAATAGCTGTAATTTGACCATGTTTGTCTCTTGCTTTTAGACCGATTTGTCTTCATACAATAATGTGACAGCGTTCCTTGCTCCGGGAGTGGTGAGTGGGTTTTTTTCCCCGTGAAGAATGATTGTTTTCCTCTGCTTTTGGTGATCTGATGCTGTGCTAATTTGGCTCGTCTCGCTGGTTTACAGATGGAAGTGCTCGGAGAGAAGCTGTTGAAAGAGCTTTCAGATGACGCGCTTGTTATCGCTTGTCGCTTTCCTTTCCCTAACTGGCCACAGCAGTCATCCGCTGGCTTCGGACTCGATCAGACCTTTGCTTACGACATCAGCACTGTGCGCTCGTACCTTAGAAGCGAAGCAAAACCAGCAGTGCAATAAAATTACAGCACTTTCTAGAATTGTAACTCAAAACAGCACTGTACCCTCCTGGGACTTTGTTCTTGGACAGTAAGTGCAATATAATATGATAAGAATCCCAGACAAAGAGAGCATAAATTGGTAGTCTGGCAGTTATAAACACTGATCAGGAGAGATCGTTCAAAGAAGTCTTTGAAAATGTCAGGATGATTTCACCTGACGTGTGTACTATTTTTTTTGCACTTTCACAGCCAATGGAGTTTAAGCCATAATGCTCAAGTCCGTGTTTTAAATGTTATCATGCTTCACTATAAAGAATATGTTTGTGACTGACTGCAGCTCTCCACGAGAGCTCTCACACTGCAAGCCATTTATTTCCAGCATCAGCACTAATAAATGTCCTCACTGGGATGCTGCAGGAGAGAGTCTGTGAATAGTTTTGTTTCATTTTGGTTTTGTGACACTGACATTAAATTCAAATGCTGTGGTTTCTTGTGTGTGTGTGGCTTTTCTAAAATAAATGTCTGCGGCCACAGCTGGAGGTCAGGTTTAACATTGGTTTGTTGGGTCTTTTGACACTGCACGTAGTTGTTATGGCCCGCACAGACACGCCATAACTGCAAGTGCTAATTTGAGCCCTTTGCAATACATGGGTGCATGCACTTTGCCTGTTTGTTTACAGCAATCTGAACAATGTTGGAATATTTCACTTTTAGGCAGAGAAGAGGTGAAGTTTTTGTACTTGTCTTTTCTGGTAAATGTCTTTCTGTTTTTGTTTCAATTCAATTCAGTTTTATTTATTTAGTTTTCACAACAACAGTCACCTCAGTAGTATTAGAAAGAAAAGGGGGACTGAGGGAAACGGGACAGAAAGGGAAACGGGACAGAAAGGCAAACTATGGGAGAGAGAGCCAGAGTAACAATCGATAATGATAACTACGAAGGATTCAGGGTCACCTCATCCAGCCTTAACTAAAAGCTTTATCAAAAAGAAGGTTTTAAGCATAACCTTAAAAGTAGAGGGTGCCTTCTTAATCCAAACTGGGAGCTGGTTCCACAGAAGTGGGACTGAAAGCTGAAGGCTCTGCCTCCCATTCTGCTTTTAAAACCTCTAGGAACCACAAGTGAGCCTGCAGTCAGAGATTGAAGTGCTCTGCTGGGGTGTGTGCTGTGAGGTCTTTAAGATGAGACAGGACCTGATTACTTAACAATTTGCTTGTGAGAAGGATTTTAAATTGAATTCTGAATTTAACAAGGAGCCACTGAAGAGAAGACCGGAATGGATACGTATGAGGTTGGGTTTTTCAGCCTTGCACATGGATGAATCTGGTCTTTCTACTGCCACAGGCAAATGACTCTGAAAACAACATTTTCTACATCTATAGATACAACCGCTAACCAGCTGAGTGAAGTCCCACGTGTCACTGCTCAGCTGGCATGCACTACATTGATAAACATACTGCAGGTCCCAAAGGTATGTCTGAAACCCGCATTTTAATCTGAATAGTGTCCAAAAGCTCCACCTGAGGGCGCTCGTGCTCCAACCTGACCTCGGTGCAGCAACCGGATGGTGTGAGCCTGAAGAGAATGCAAATGATTCTCTTCAGCATAGTGGATATGTGCAAGTATATTTTCTTAAAGGGGCTATTTATTCGATGAATTCAGGTTCGATGAAATAAATACTACAGTACAGCACGTGTCTGTCTTCATTATCAAACTGTATGTGAATGCTTATATATATATATATATATATATATATATATATATGGCTTATTAAAAAAACCAAAGTTTTGCACGCCGCTTTACATATTTCCATATCTGTGCCACCACCGACACAAACGTACATGTGAGGTAATCGATAACAGCCAGACCCCCGTTCTCTCATGCCCGTGACGTCAGAGAGAGGGCGGCAGACAGGGGGAGGGTTGAGCGCCAGAGTATAAAAACTCCTGGCCGAGCTCTCCGGGATCCATTCTGAGTTTTGTAAGACAGACCTATAACTGATGGAAGTACAGAGAAGCGCCGGGCACCAACTGACAATCGGTAGCACCATGTGTGAATCCACGCAGAGGTCCTGCGAGCCTCGCCGAAAGAAAATGGATGAGCGCAGTGCACCCTCAGAAATGGCCAGGATAATCACTGATCCTGCCACGGGGAAGTGCTACTGCCGTGGAAAAGTTTTGGGAAAGGTAGCGCAAGCATTCCATCGTTTTTTCTTTTCTTTTAAAAAAAAAAAAAAAAACTTTCCCCCCCCCCTCGGGATTTACCTAACCCGAAGACAAAACATGTTAACAGTGTTTTTCCTTTTTCCAGGGAGGATTTGCTAAATGTTATGAGATGACCGACCTCTCCACCAGCAAAGTTTACGCAGCCAAAATCATCCCTCATGCGCGCGTCTCCAAACCTCACCAACGGGAAAAGGTAAGCGCACAACTCTGATCCTTGAGCGTTCAACTTATATGTTTATATATATATACATTTAAGACATGTTTTGTCTTTGCTTTCGCTAGATTGACAGAGAAATTGAGCTGCACAGATTACTACACCATAAACACATCGTGCATTTTTATCACCATTTTGAGGACAAGGAGAACATCTACATCCTGCTGGAGTACTGCAGCAGGAAAGTAAGTGCTGTTTTTTCCACATGGTAAATTTGAAATGACTTTACTGCCGCCGTGTTTCTAATGTGAACAAGACCTGCATTGCACCCAAAATCCAGCGAGGCACTACTTGGTATTCAGAATGTGCCCCACTCTATAAAGAGCTTTACTGTTTTAATTAACTGTCGAAAGTAGAAAACTTTAATGTGCTACCACGGGGTTTGAAATTAAGGGAAGTAGTCAAGTGTGATAAGCTTTTCTGCACAGAGGACAGTGCTTATATCTTGGGAAAGCTCTATAATTATTCTCATCTCTATGCTTTGTTTTTTTTTTCGCAGTCATTAGCCCATATCCTGAAGGTCCGCAAAGTGCTTACTGAGCCAGAGGTGCGTTATTACCTGAGACAGATTGTGTCTGGACTGAAGTACCTGCATGAACAAGAAATCCTTCACAGAGACCTGAAACTTGGTTAGTGATATTACAGTGCTGTGCATAATCTTTCATTGTGTGCAGGGAGAACATCATTCCTTGTAACTAAACCTCAGTCTGTACATCTAAAGAGGATCTGTGTTGTATCTTTTGCTGTGCTCATGCTTTGATCCTGGCTTGAATATCAAGTGTTCATCATCTCATTCCCTTTCTTCCCGACAGGTAACTTTTTTGTGAACGAGACGATGGAGCTGAAGGTCGGGGACTTTGGTCTGGCTGCCAAGTTGGAGCCAGCGGGAAACAGGAGGAAGACGATCTGCGGGACTCCCAACTACCTGTCCCCTGAGGTTCTCAACAAGCAGGGCCACGGCTGTGAATCAGACATCTGGGCCTTAGGCTGTGTAATGTGAGTCGGATATCTATAAATTTAGCATTAGGGAACTTTAAAAGGTTTAGTAATGAATTATTAAGAAACTATCTATATTGGCATCGGGTGTCATGGACAGGCATATTCTTGTCTTACTTCTTTCACTTAGAAATATGTGATATATGAGATAAACTACCCATGCATGTCCTATGGCATAAATAGCTCCCTCACTCAATGCCCTCTATCCTCCTCCAGGTACACTATGCTGCTGGGCAGACCTCCTTTCGAAACCACCAACCTGAAGGAGACATACAGGTGTATTAGAGAAGCCCGCTACTCCCTCCCCTCGTCCCTGTCACCACAGGCTAAGCAGCTAATCGCCAGCCTGCTTGCCAAGATGCCAGAGGACAGGCCCAACCTGGACCACATTCTGAGGCATGACTTCTTCACACAGGTTAGACACGATTGCCAACTCTATGTCACTCTATGTTGAACACTGTAAATGTCACAGCGTAGGAGTTTAACAATTACACCCCCCCCACTTCCCACCAGATGACCCACTTTGGTTCTTCACAGGGCTTCAGTCCAGAACGTCTGCCTGCTAGCTGCTGCCATTCAGCACCAGATTTCCACATCTCTAGCCCTGCCAAGAGTTTCTTCAAGAAAGCTGCTGCTGCGCTGTTTGGTGGGAAGAGGGACAAGGTCAAGTACTACGAGACTCTGAGTGAGTATTGCAACAGCATTTAAGTTCTCAGTGTACTACTTGTCACACTAATAGTTTGTATTTGAGTCTGAATTTTTGCTCGAAGCACGGGCATCATTACACCTAGCGTTATGACTGAGTGTGCATGACACATTTTATCACCCTTAGGCTGGCCATGGAGGTCATCCTCTCATTTTTCTGCACTCCTTTTGTCCTTTGTAGATAAGTTAACCAAAGAGGAAGAGGAGATCTACAAGTTGCAGCATGACTTGGAGAGAACTGCCATCAGCCAACAGCACAGCAAAAAGGTGTCTGAGGTAAGAATTGAAGACGGGATATTTGCAAGAGTGTGGGTGATGTTGCAGGTAGATTCATCATAACGGCAGTTAAATAGATGTGAGATATCACGTTGAGGAGAATCCAGTGAGTCATTCTGGGGCTGTGCCAAAACTTTATAACGAGCATATTTCTCCTGAACACGCTAAAAGCACTTATTTTCAACCTTTAAGCCAACCTCTTTGCATCTGTGGGTGATCACTGAGTCATAGTAGGAAGGGATGATCTAAACTCACAGATTCTAAACCCTGTCGTCACTCATTCCCACCTCAGAATGGAAGTCTACTTCCGCCATCTGCCGAGAGCCCCGTTGCCCCGGCAACAGAGAGCCAGTCCCCGACGACGCAAGACACCATCCGTCTGATCGTCAGGGGGAGTCTGGGAAGCTGCAGCAGCAGTAGTGAATGTAAGTTCACCCACACGTTTAACAGAGCGCAGACAGACTGGAATTATTTTTTGATGTATTATGGAAAAGAAATCAGTGTTATAGAGAGCTGCTGCCATAGCTAGAGTGTTTAGTACCATTGTCATGTCAAGCTGACTGAGCACCTGTTATTGCTCCAAAAGGCCTGGAAGACAGCACGACAGGGAGTGTGGCTGAGACTGTTGCAAGTGTGCTGAGGGGGTGTCTGGAGAATATGCCTAAAGGTGAGTGAACCAACAAAGCCTTGACCTCTACATGCATGCCTTAGCTGCAATTAATAGTGCACTTAAGCTCACTGTTTCATTATACCTTTAACTGTATTCTAACCCTCCTCCTCTTTCTGTTCACCCTGCAGCCAGTGACATTCCTCAGGGCTCAACCAGCTGCAGTCTTCAATGGGTGACTAAATGGGTGGATTACTCCAACAAGTACGGTTTTGGATACCAGTTATCTGATCACACCGTGGGAGTTCTCTTCAACAATGGCACTCACATGAGCCTCCTACCCGACCGAAAGTATGTATTCTTTCTCAACGCCCTCCCTTAAATTTAAAAGTTATTAGTCACAACATTAACTTGTCTAAGCATGCTGCGGTTATCGTGTCAAGTCTTTCAAGAATGTCATCTAA